CTTTGGCATCTATACTTAGTATATGGATATTTTTATACATGGATATTATACGTGTGTGTGTGTTGCGCGCGCTATTATTTTTATAAAAGCGTATTAATTTAATAATCGTATAATAAAACATACTGTTTACTAGCGTGTGTTGCACTATACCAATGTATAAGAACATATAGAGTAGAATCGGGTTTTGGGTATTATGAGCACTGCAAATAATATGAGCACCCTTTATATTTCTGTAACGGTTGATACTATTATAGTAGTGCCAACTGTTGTAAAAAGATGCATCTGTCTTCGCGACATTCCAATATGCTGCGAAGTTTGATCTAAATTTATGTCGGATATTTATCATATTAAATAAGTAGGTACGCAATTTTTTTATTTCTTACGTTTTTTCCTCTAACTTCATAAGGTCCCCAATCTACATTGAGATAAGATATTTTGTTCTGCATGTTAATATTTGTAAAGTAAATAATGTTGAGTAAACAATATTTTAACTTCATAAAGTCCCGAGACCATTATTGATTTATTAGATACGGGAGTTTTTCGAACAGATATGCATGATCGTCTGTATTATGAGCATTTTCATTATTCCTTATCGTACACTGAAAAAAAAGTCTGGCGAGGGGTCAACCACTGTGGTAATCAATTTTTTTAGAAATATATTGCGACAGTACGGTAACAAAACAGGCAATGCTAGCAGTAGTAGTACTAGCAATACGCTAGTAATATGCTAGCAATACATAGCAGTATATAGCAATACATTAACAATATTTGGCAATATTGCGCGCAATAGGTGGCAATGCATAGGATAACAATATTAACATAGCAATGTTAGCAATAAAGCGTATTGTATTGCCATAATTAGCAATCACTGTTACACATTAGCGTACATTTTTTTAGTAGTGGTTGACCCCCTTCGAGTTCGGTAATAGCTATTAAATGTATGGTGAAATAATGCCAATCAAATGTTTCATATACATGTATATTTCAATCTTTCATTTTTGCATGATTTCTTACAAAAAATTTCCTGTACTCATGTTACCCCTATATAATGATACTCATGTTAGCCTACCCAGAGGATAATATGTGAGCACTGGGCGAGTAATAAGAGCACCCATTACCATTTCAACATTTGTATTAAAACAACCAATTTCAATACCAAGATACATAAAATATCAAATGGTATGCATAAGATTTTTTTTATTCTTCAGTGTGCTAGATATATCAAAACGTTTCCTTAAGGTGCTCATAATACCCGATCCCTTGTCCTATATGCTTCTTTTTTTAGCAATACACGTAATCTATCATAGTTATTTTGTATTGCATGAATACGCGATCATGTTACACGTATCGATAACCACTGGAAGCATAGTTGAACATTTAAATGCAATATACATAGACTTTTTACATGTTGAATACAAAGTATCTAAAAAACGAAAAAAAAAATATTATTAATATTTTGTTTTCTTAATGAGAGGGGCACGAGTATTTTTTGTCTCTGCGCATTATTATGTGTCGCAGTGATATCATTTTGTCATGCGGAAAGATTTAGTAGCAATTGTAGAAGAAAGTCAATGGACTAGTCCGCAGTAGTGAGTCTGTTGTACAATTTCACGCAACTAGAACAATTACCAAGTTTCGTGCGTGTCTTGCTATAGTTGCGGTTGACGTTTGACGTTGATATACGACATTGCGCATTATTACAAACTTGGTATATTAATTACGTAGGCAATTTTTTACGATGTGCGATAGGATGGAAAAAAGCGTTTTTAAAAGCTTGCTTTATAATACATTAAAAACTATGTATTGTTACTGGGTCAGTAATTTGAAGCTATTGCAAAGATATCCAATATTCACGTTAACTGGAATGTCAGTATAGAATATAATTTTATGAAAAACATTAAAATATTAAATAACCCTTTTGCGGAAAAAAAATAACGAAATATTGATCTTTTATTAATCCTAATAAAAAAAATAAAAAAAATAACAGCAGTATATGCGAAAAGATATACACAAAAGAATGTTGTCCCAAAAAAAAATGGCAAAAAAATCAATCGGACTTTAGTGATTGTTGATTTCTATTAGCGTTTTAAGATGTAAAATAAAACCAAAGCTATAGAACAAGAGTGGACTAAGCTCGTAATTTGTAAGCTGTACTTTAGACACACGGCTAAGTGTTTAAGTAGACTTTTTCCTTATGTTCATTCTTATTTTAAATCCCACGAGTACGATCTTAAATCCCCGTTACGATCTTATTCTTATTTTTCAATTTTAAAACACTTTTTCTAAACATTACCATTCCCCGTGTTCTTACAATCCTATAAGTAAGCTTAAATTGAAATGAAGCGAGGTCGCTTTTTGTAGCAAGTAATCTGATAAAGGATCGTGAAATGTGCAAAATCAGGCTACACTGTTCGTGCGACGAGAGGTTCTACGATTGTCTCCACAGCTCGGAGGAACTCGTTAGCGCAAAGGTTGGCTTCCTCTACTTCAGCGTGTTAGACACGAAGTGCTTCCGCGAAGACTATCCCATCGTCGGCTGCAAACGCCATTCACTGTGAGTCGTAAACGTATTAGAGCTTCGCGAATAGCGAGTCGATACTCGATTTTCAAATGGGTCAGGTATTTGCGAGAGATTCATCGATTTTCTCACTCACGATTCTATTTAATACGCATATATACGGATCGTATTCAGTCAGTTTTATTGTTTCCTGATCGCATATTCCGATATGTGTTGCATCGGGAATTACATCCGTGTAAATAGTTAAATACACATTTTTCGCTTGAAATTGAATCTGCGTAATATTCAGTGGCAAAGTATTTATGTTTTCTTTATTTCCAATACTTGTTGTGTATACATTCCCGATGTGCGATGTATATTATTATTGGAAATGTAAAAAAATTTTATATACACATACTGTGTAGATTATAATTGGAAAAAGCGGCGAGTATTATCGCGAGTACTGGAAACTTTTAAGAACGACGATGTGCTAACGATCTCTTGGCAGCATTCCTAGACGTTGTTTGGAGTACGAGCTGGACGAAAGCCAACCGAAGATGTATCAGTGGTTCGACGTACCCACGTATTTTCAAAACGACCACCGAATGGTGATGGCCGATCGTCATATTCGATCACTCGATTCCGGCACTTCATTCGCAGGCCGATAGGAATCTATTTTGTGGAACCGCCGACCACTGGAGGAAACGTCATACGCGTGTAAAGCCATATAAATTCGCAATCGACCAGTCCTGTCAACGTAGTTAAATAAGCGTCAATAAAACCACTTTGCGAACGCTTTATTCTTGCTGTCTCTCTCTCCTTTCTTTTACATCCCGCCTTAAATGCGCGTTAGAATTCTGATATGCATTAAATATGCGGAAAATGCGTATATATGTGTGCGCAAGAATACGGGTCGATTCGATTACGTAGTTATGGATGATCCATATATAACAGTGGAAATTAAATAAGAGTCATTAAGCGTACCAATCAACAAATTGGCAAATTGGTAAAGCCGTCTCATTTTCGCGGTTGGATACATTAGTTTAATAAATGGCAAAAACATAAAGTGTATCGTATACATACTCATGTTTTTTAGCTATTTATTAAGAAGAAATAACCTTGTCTCTCACATCACTTGATATTTCTGCGATGATAAATGAATGTTTCAATGATAAATCGCAGACGTTATAACTTGTAACATGCACGCTAGGAAGATATTAGCACGAAAAGTACATAGTCGCAGCAATTAAACATTAGCAAAACAACATTTCTCTGAATTCATTATAACATTATCTGTTTCCGCCGTGCTTCACTCGCCTTACAATGTAGCAATAAGTCCTGTTGAGACCCCACTAAATCATTTCAACGTAATCGCCTGTTATCGGATCTGAAAAAGGAAAAGAAAAGAAAAGGAAAGAAAAAAAGAAACAGAAGCTGAAATACAAGCTACGTTAGCACGGGGAAGAAAACGAGAGGGTTGGTCCACGGGGCGCTGTGAGACGGGAGATAAGCGACGAGGGTCGAATCGGAAGTGGAAGGAAGAGGGAGCGGCTCGGTCTGGCTCGGCTCGGCTCGCTTCTCTCTTCTCGCCTCCTCTTCTCGCTTTTCCGAGGCTTTCCTCCATTTTACGCGAGGCCGTGCGGGCAGCTGGCGCTTACTCCGGGATTTGCTCGGAAATTTATGTCCGGATGGAGCGCAGCCGCGCCGTCCCTCGCGCGCCGCCAGCATCCTCCTACCTACCTACCTACCTACCACCGATTTACAACTTCTCCGCTCACCTGCGCCAACTTTCGGATGCGCGTGAGCGCGCGCCAGCTCTCCAACCCGGCGACTCCATTCTTCGACTCGCGTCGTGTACCATCGATGCGATAGGAAAAATTGTCGACTTCGCGTTGAAAACGCCGTGATTTATTACCGGAGAAATCGCGCACCGTCGCCGCGTCGCTATGTCGTTGAAGGCCAAGGCGCAACGTGGAGAACGACGGCAATATTTAAGAGCACGAGATACATACGGAATATTTGCGGAATTGAAAAATGATGAGTAGCGAAAGAGTATGAAATAAGTAAAGGATAACAGATGCTCAAAGATTAATTATAGTTGGTATAGTATTCTTAAAAATGTTTGAGAAATATAAAAATTTGAAGACTGCAATTTAGATAACTGTAGCTAACGAATTATAGATGCTACAGGTATAAACATTTACAATAGTTTTGTTGTTATGTGTGAATACACAAAAAGATTTCATTTATATATATGATACCTGTAAAATATCGGACTATGATCCAAACTATTCTGTGATTATATTTTATATTTCTACAAAAAAATAGTGTTCTACGTTATTAAATTAAACGCATTTAAGTTGTCAGTATGGAGATAGATGCTAATACATCATTGACAATTAACTAATTGTAAATTAGCAGAGTGTAACCAGCCAATTTTAACATAAGCAGACTGCGTGGAGACTTGCGTCTTTAATCATGTTGTTTCCTTTTATCTTTCCAGACGTGGCGGCATCAGTGGAGGTTCACTTTGAGAATAAGGACGGTGGATTCTTTTTGAAGCACATACCGCGGCAATATTACCCGTCCCGCGGCACGTCGGACACCATCCCGCCGCAATCTACAAGTGTATCGAATAATAACAACAACAATGCAGGAAGCGCGGTACCATCGCCGCCGCCTGGCTCCGTCCTCTCGATCGACAAGTTTACCGTCTTCCAGACGAGCGAGCCGGTATCGGTGCGGGCCACGTATGGGCCTTTCAGCACCAAACAGACCGTACCGGCGCGCTACATAGTCCCCGATCCATTGGACGCGCTGCCGGGACCAGAGACACGACGCAATCTCACGGCAGCAACGATCCTTGACGCGCAGGAGCTCGGCACTCGCCACCTGGATATGTCAGCTCACCTGGTGGGCAACAGCGTGCCGCGCGATTCGCCCGTGCTCAGGGTGCTCTTCCACGCCGGTAGCGAGGCCGGTGGTAGACGTCAACTGCTGATGGCGCGGCATCAGCGAGTCTGCGTGGTGTTGCACGCCAGCCTGGCCAGTCCATCACGGGGTAATGCAGCGAGTAGGAGCAGCAATGGTTACTCTTCCTCCTCTTCCTCCTCTTCGTCTTCATCATCTGCGCTTACGGCCGCCTGCAGCCCCGATGGCGAGAACGGCGTGTGTCTCGCGCAGATTACCATACCGGCCGATTGGTGGGCACCGTTACCGCCGCCCGATGCTTCCGGCCGTGTCAAGGTCGCCAAAAGTCTGCCGCGATTGATTCAAGTTGCTTACTCCGTGCTGGAACCGCGTACGGAGGAAGGAGGACTTGGTACCGGCAACGGTGGCGACAGTGTTGGTAGTGGTTCGGTCGATGCTACCGGCGAATCGGGATTCTGTAGACCCAGGGTACAAATACAGCCAGTTACTCCTCTAGGCCAAGTACCGCTCGCGCCCAACAAGGCAGATTACAAGGAACTCAGGGCGGATGATTCGTTGACGTTGCTGGTGCCGCACGGACCGCTCTATCCGAGATCCAGGCTGCACATCCCGGCCTTCCTACATCCCGTTAAGGTGACGGACTCGCGGCAGGAGCGACCGCCGTTGATCGTCGCGGTTTATTTAAGGTAAACAACTTGGCGAGCTTCTCGCAGAAATCTTGAGAAACGCGACAGTAAACTTCATCTATTTAGAAAGAGAGATACTTATCAAGATGTAATTATTACATCTTGTAAGCGATGGCTTACAACAAATTAGAAAGATTATAGTGGGAGATCGTCAAGCCGCTAACTTCTTTCCTTTGCTAGCTCTCTCTCGTTTTTACATAGTTATATAAAAAATATACATTAATCGATCGAAGGTAAATTCGTAAATTTTCGTCAATGTTAATTATAGGATCGCTGATGTTGAATAAACGCGCTTTAGAAATACGCAAATAAACTCGTGATTAGCGCCACGCCGGCAAATACAAATACGCTCATGATATCTCGCTTAACCACTTTCACACAAATAAGTGATTAAATGCGAGAGTCGCAATTTCCGCGTCGAGATTCACTTTGCGTGTACTTTTTTTTTAGCCGCGCGCGTCTCCCGGAAAGCGCTTTTAAATCCCAACTCGAGGGGGCCACTTCTCGCGCGGCCGGAAAGTGGGTCGGAAACGTTCTGTTGGGAAGGGCTGGAATTCTCTAATTGGATGAATTGTCAAGTAAGCAGGCGAGCAAAGTTACAAGCTCGCCTGTTGTTAGTAAGTACTCGGAAGTTCCGCGACTGCAACTAACACGCGGGGTACACTCGAGCATGGACCAACGGCAGCCAATCCGCGTGAGATACTCATTGTTGGCTCTGTAACACACCATTGGGAATGCGAAGCGGTGTCGTCGGGATAGAACTTTTTGCGTCGAATAAGCGCGAAACACTTGAACCAACACTATAAGTCGCAGATATTGAAGTTCCGTGGTACAACGTCACGTATAAGATGCATAGAGATAAATCATCTGTGCTAAGACTTACATAATTAATCGATTAACCCTGTTAACCTATGCCGTTGTGTATATACGAGTAGTATCTCGAGCATTTCTCGATAATTCAGATATTTTGAATTTCAATTTGCCTGTTACAATAATCAATTTGCGTGAAAAATTCTTTATTTATCCCATTATTAATAAATTCAAAATCTGTTGCTTGAAATTTATATTTATTTGGCGAAATGAAAATACTGTTTTAATTTTAAAAATTGATAGATTTTAGTATTGAATAATATATATATATATATATACGTATATTTCAAACATAACCTGAATTATAACACAATGCGTGAAGATATATCGAAGATAATTTAACGGAAGTTTGCGGAACCCTCCCAAAATTTATGAACCGCTTAAAAGGCTATCGCATGCACTTACGCGTGCTGTTATGATAAAGACTTCGGCGTTCTATAGCGTCGACGTCAGTGATGTCGCATATATGTACATAATAGCGCCTCAAATATAATTAATGAATTAACTAACAATTAAATAGTAAGTGAAAACTATATCTACAGCTAATTATAGCGCTACGATAAAAGTTTTTTAATGTTGTGACGCAAATACTTAAAACTGTTGCGTCCTTCGTGATAATTGTATTAATATCGAAAAATCGGTCGATTCAAAGAAATCTTTAATAATTTTAATATATTACATACACATCATTGCCATGTAGTCGTGTTTCTCTCGTTAATTAATGTGGATTTTTTCTTGATGAGATTTTTATAAGGATCCAGTTTCTACGCTGTTTTTACAGAGGGTAAGACACCCTATGGCAATTTCTTGTGCGGAAATATGAGACCGTATTTTTTGCATCTTTCCCCTTTCTGCTTTGATTCCATACGAATTACGCCTCCATTCCCTCTTTGAATATGATATTTTCGAGACCAATGCGAGTTTATTTATTAATTATACAGAAATATAATTTAGATTTTTTTAGCAATATTGCGAAAAGTAAAATACTAATGAATCTCTTTTAATCCTTATTGCATGGAAGCTTATTAAACTCTCGCAGACGAATACAAATTAAAAGCTCCTGCATACGACATAGTCATAAACCATTTGTACGATTAGTTTCTCTTTTATAATATCATTAATATCACGAAATGTAGAGATACTATGCAGCTTATTTGGAATATAAATTCTTAAAAGATTAAATTGATAATATTAAATAACAATTTTTTCGCGACTCAACATTTTATAGAGAAATAACCTTTATTACGTTATTTGTTAAAACTTTATCTCTATTGCACAAAGAATAGTCAACGAATTAAAATTTTATTGGTTTAATCCTTAAATTTTATTACGTTTTCGAAATATATATTCACATTTTTTGTTATTTGATTTGCATTCGAAACGGTAATGGAAGATGATAACGCGTAAGATAGGTGATATCGATAGTTGAACTCATTGCGGAGGTTGCAGGTTATCGAGATTATCTTCACAATTTCTGCGTATTGAAGCGATTTTAAAATAGAATTACATTTGTTCACATCAGTGAGTTCTATAGAGCTCGCTGGTTTATGGATGTAGAATCTGCATAGTCGTATAGCCTTGGCGTTTGGTAATATTACAGAATTAATGAGATAGTTATATTTTTACTAAAGTTATGTACGTAAATTAATTCTTTATTTAATCACATTATCTGTAATACTATCTCGTAAACATAGAAAATTGTAAAATTTACTTACAATATCTTTCTATCATATACATTATTTTTGGAACATTTTTTTACAAAAAGTTTTACAAAAATGTTTTATTTTGACAAAAAATTTTTTTTTCCTGACTTTAGCTGCTTTGTTTAAAAATTTCATCTCGCCATGTAAAAATAATTAGGTAACTATTAAATTAATAATAATAATGGTAATGTTTAACGAACGTTATTATTAGTTTGAGAGTATCCTATTACTATTATTGCATAATTTCGTTGCCCTCTCGAAAATAGTTTATTACGTAATATTAAATTACGTTATACTCGTATATTTTATACACACACAGTATTCCACTTCTACCGCATTTTCTTTTAAGAACGTATTCTCTCTCTCTCTCTCTCTCTCTATCTATCTATCTATCTATCCATCTATCTATCTATCTTTTTTTATTAATTTCTCTTTTATTTAACAGCCGTAATTCCAGATACGAAAATTCGAGAAAAAATGCTCGTCCGAATCTCTTAAATTCTTTAAACGCGAAATTACCCCGTAGAGAAACCTTCTGAAAATACGACGAGTTGAGCGAAAATTTCTTCACGCGTTAAAGAGCTTGCTAAGAGCTAATCGTAGCCTTTGTCCGCGTCGAGGGGGGGCTTTATCCTGCTTTTTATGTCTCGCAACCTTAATCTAAGGCTCTTACAGCGCCACGTTAAACCGTAGATTTCCTACGCGGCCGCCTCTTAAGCCGCACTAGTCTGACCATAGGTCTTCGCCTCTGTGCCCTTACGATATTGCATTGTTCAACAGTGCAACAGTTATACAGAGAGAGAGAGAGAGAGAGTCCTTGGTTCTCTCACCATTTTCTTTAATTGCAAATACTGAAGTGTGAATCAAGAAAAATGAAACTTGTTTGATATTAATGAAAATATTTTTAATTTTGTCCTTTACACATATCTATGTTTATAATTATAATTAATCATGCACACTGATTGGAAGGCTGTACGATTCATGATCAGAGTTATACTAAATCTATATTGTGATCGGTTTTTTTCTTCATAATACATATGAGTGTTGTTGATTCTCCACAGCTAAATCCACACATGATAGTATCCCTATCAATATCGATCGATCGGCCAAAACATGAACAACTAGAAGTATCCAAAAAAGAGAGAGATGCAATCATTGAATAAATGGTAATTTTAAAGCGATATTCGGTCATTCGTTAGCGTTCAGCGTGGAAATGTGCGCGCATGCATGCATTCGTGATCGTTCCCGATAGCGTTCCCTGGCCGTCGCGTCGTTTTGCACATCGGCGATTTGTATGTAAATCCAAGATAGGCTCGCGGAAATAACTTGATCTGAAACTTGTAATTGGTTCGCTCTTAACTCGCCTAGCCGGCATTCTGAGCGCCGTTTAACGATGACCCAATATCCGCCCCTTTCGTGTCGCCGTTCCACTAATTCTTGGTTAATCTGTAGTTACTACTCTGTTGTCATTTGTGAACGCGATATAATTAGCGAGAAAAATAAATCTAATAGAGAAGTTGGTTCGTTTTAACTCAATTCTGATTTTGCCTTAGGAGATTTACCATTTCTTTCGTCTTTATCTCTCATCTTTTTCTTATTAAACGAATAAAAGTTCGATTAAGGCTTAAAATATAAAAATTAAAATTATAAAAACTTGAACTTTATAGAAAGTACAATGTTTACTGAATAAATGATATAAAAAATATGTAGGAATACATATCTAAAGAGGTTGTATTCCGTTAATTACTTTGATAAATTTTTATGCAGCGCACTTCCATGTCTTATTACAGTATTGTAGAAAGGGGAATAAATTGATGTTTTGTACAGATTTAGATTTTTGTTATACGCATGACACGCTTTTTTCTATTGTTGTTTGAAGCTTAATTTACTTTTAGCTCAATTTAATTAAAGTTTTGGATCCGTCGGAACGATTAAGAGCAGAGATATGTAAATTAATTGCCAGAAGTGAAGGCGAACTTGGCAGAGATCGTAATTATGCTTGTTTTTGTATGCTTAAATTATGACGCTCGGGATGGAGAACAATTGCATGGGGTTCTTTTCGGAAGAACTGCGCTTCCGTGTCGTTAGTATGATTGTGAAGACAAAGTTAACACACAATGTGTGTGTATGTGTGTAGCCAACGATATGCTTTGCAATATGCGGCACAGTATGCGCCGCAGTGCCAAGCCGTTGCTGTAATGTTTGACGCCAGCGGAATTTTGAAGCGAGACATCCGCAAAGATCTTAAACTTGGCAGTTTGCAACCGATTAATCTAAAACTTACTTCAGATAAGAGATCATGTGTACGATATCAACATAAAATATCGGCGCATGTAGTTACGCTAATAATGGAATAGATAATTGTTCCTTCGTTATCAGTAGTAAATGAACATTCATTTCATTTCTTGAGGATTTTCAATCGGAAATACCGGTCGACTACCGCGATATCGTAGTATCTCTCGCTGGATATTTGCTAGAAACGTGCACAAGAAATCGGACTTGACCTTAGAGCGACATTTCGCCTTAGGAATATTTCATACTGGGATCTTAGGAAAATGTCATGTTCCTTGTAATCGTTTCCGCGCTTTGAATTCCTTCTTGCTGATCTAATGTTACGGCAATACGTACAAGGGAAAATGCGATAAACTCTGGCGATAAGAGACACCGGTCCCTGTTTTTTCTAGGGAAAAAAGCAAATTGAGTTATTATGGAAGGTATTGGCAGCAGCTTTAAATACGTATTAGCTGGCCGCTTCCTTGGCTTGGGTAAATATACCGAAGGAACTTGAAGAGGCAATATCCGGTCTGGTTTGAGCCGAAGTTTCGTATTAGCCACTCGGTGCACTTTTCTACTGCGAGATCCGCTTACCGGGCGACATTACATTCGCGCACTTGAAAATTCTCGTTTCACAACTTGAATTAGGAACGATTTCCTCGAGGCTGAAGACTGTAGTCGCAAACAGAGATTTAAGAAGATACATTGCTACAATGGTAGAGTGCATGTTTCAAATAAATTATACAAGTTGTAATGTATAGCATTCGATACGAATGTCTTATCTTTCATTTCTATGTTTTAAAAAATAGTTTTAACATTTCATATAATAATTCTATTCCTATTGAAAATATCAAGAGAGCGATTGTTCGAAAAGGAATACGAAATCATAAATATATGTACAGTACCCTCCATAAGTTTGAGAACACCCTACTTTACAGGTTTTACAGGTTTGTAAATAATTATTTCGTCTTTTCTCAATTAAAGATTTAATAACATGCTATTAAAATATGGAATTTTAATTAAAATGCGATTCATACGAAATCTGATTCTTCGGGGTCATTTTACAATTTTTACGGAGTCTGAAATCAACTTGCGATTCAAATAGTTTATCACTTTTATAGAAATCGTTAAACTATAATTAAATGACCCGTGCATATACAAGGAACACAAGTGTTTATTGTATAATGGCTTTCCCGTAAAACGTAGGATGTTCCCAAACTTATGGAGGATACTGTATATGGAGCACACTATTAGCGCTATTGCATCATTTTATCCTGTTTTACGTCTAATAAACGATAAAAATAGAATGACACTAGTGCTGATAGCGCACACTCCGAAGCACACTCCGAACAATCTCGATCGGATTATCGTCTAGCTTGTCTGCATCGCGACAGCGAGCTGCGAAGTGCGAGTATACGATTTGCTGTAAAAAAAAATCGCGGTGTACCGCGTTACGTCGCATCATAGCGAATATCTGAGCGTCGCGGCGTCAGACAGACGCATTTCTTTAGCCGCATTCCTCTCCTCCCTCACCATATATGATACTGACATTACCGACCCTATATATGACCCGGTCACGTAACTAGAGCGTGAGTTCGTTCGGAGCGAGGAATGCAACCTCCTCCCTCGCGTGAGCGAATTGACTCGACGATGATGAAGAAAATGTCTCTCACAGTCGCAGACGAATATAAGAAATGTCCTTATGCTCTTTCGCGATGCTACGAAGACAAAAGACAAACGGCACGAATGTTGCGAATGTTCCATCTGGATATGCGTATTTCCGTGTAATCGTCCATGATTCTTTCGTGATTAAGAATTTTTCAAAAACGTTCTCAATCACTATGCAAAAATCTCGAGATCAAAGACTCGTCACATAGTGCTTTTTGTCGCATAGTTTGGCGAATTCTTTAGCCAATTTGGAAAGAATTTTTCGCTAGTAAAAGTGCTAATGTATGAGTATATAACGATAAACATAAAAATAGATGCTGTTGAAGTAAGATGTACCGGCTTGAACTTATCAAAGAATACAGAGATACGATTATATTTTATTTATATTTTTTCTTAAATTTGCAGAAAATTAACTTTTATCTTTTTAAAAAAGAACGATGAAGTTATAAAAGCATTTAATTTCTTGCTATATTCTCTCTATTGAACATTACTCTTTTTATTCTGGAGTAAATCATTAATTTGGTTAGGGTTCATTCGGATTAATCAGAGTAAATCTTTTTGCATACCTTTGTAACTCATGTGTGTACTAGCATTTTTTTTCTTTCATATATATTTTTTTTTACATTTCCCGGAAACTTTAAGAATGATTCTAAACCTGAATATCACTCGATAAAAGTATCGGCGAGAAAGATTGTAGACAAATGGGAAGTGTCACAAACGCAAACGATAAAACGTGAAATGCATACGAAATTCGCATTATTGACGCTCGCGCTTTCTTGCAGCTTCGTTTCGCGGTCGTGCCACTTAAGGATGTTTTGTACATATTTACAAAATAACCAAATTGTGAAGAAATTACAGATTATTCTAAATCACGTTTAAAAATATGATAATACGACAAAGTTGGTGACGGTTTACTATCTGGATCATAAGTCATTTTAATAAATAGTAGTATTATATTTTTTTAATCTGTGCTCTAATAAAAATATATGGAAATGTATTATAAAATAAATGATAAAAATTTCAATTTTTTAATATAAGTACATTATGTATTCAAGATTATACGTAGAGTTACATTGCGATGCATCAACTAGTCCAGTAAATAAACAAAATAAATAGGTATTTGTTTTATATCTTTGTAACTAATCAGTTGAATCGCAATGAAACTTTGCATAAATTATTTTGAGGATTTAAAATATTCATAAATGAAAAATGTAAATTTTTTATCATTTTTGAAATTTTAATTTTTAACAATAAAAATAATAATAAATAAAATAAACAAACTACAAAAATGTGTTATTAAACAAAAATATAATCTTATTCACATAACTTTTATATATATGTATGTATGTGTGTATATATATATATATATATATATAGTTTATTTGAAGTGTATAAATATTAAATGTACTTCGAAATTTAATTTTCTTTGCAGGGACTGTACGTCTAATACATCCTTAAATTTCAATGTAGCTTTCAAAATTATCGCGGATTCGCCGAGAGTGCACGCGACATTGCTTCAACGAGAAATAGCACGGTATTATTGCAACGACAACTAAAAATCGAGATGTTCGAAGCATGGTACTATATCTGAAGAGTCCACCACGGTGCATCAGAGTCCGATCGAATGAAAATCCGATATTTACGTTCGACAATTTACAGTGAATAACTGGCAAGATCGAGGGAGGAATAATTGAGTGCAATTACACAGAATAGAGAAATTGGTTTTATATTCATATCTTTCTATCTTTTTCTTATATGTATGTAACATTAATTTCTAAATAACGTGTATCATTATATTTAAAAAATCAGCTCGCGCCTGAAGAAATGCAAGCTGTATTTTGTTACTTTCGTAGGAGACAACTCAAAGACTACATAAGTACTTATACTTGACGATATTGTTAGGGCAACATTAGGGCAATAGGTCTCATGAGAAGAACTGTACGTTCATTCATTTTTTATGACAGAAGAACATAGCTAATAATACGGATGAAAAAAATGCGTACAGATCAATACGATGAGTAATAAAAGTCGCGCGGTATTATAGACTTGTATGAGTCATTGTTGGAAGGAAACACTTCTGAAACTTTACATATGTGACTTGTATTTTATACATATACCCACATATGTGCAAAGGGGAATATCCTCCTTTGAACTTTACAATCTATCATCTTACAATCTATCTCTAACACACTTTACTTTCACATCAAATTTGAGTATTGGTCGTTAGTCGAAATTCCTGAAAGGTTTACCAATTTTGAAAATTGATCTCCTATATTGGAAGATTAGCGTACACTTAAAATTATTGAATTACAAAACTACCAAACAATAATGAATAAGCCAAGCAAAACATTTCCATATATTCTTGATCTGAAATTCAGTTAAATATTCTTTTCAGAGAATCGAAAAGATATTGAAACATACAGATTATTCAATATTATAATGCAGATATATATTTGAATATAAATATATTTAAAATGCAATATGATCGGGCTCATGAAAACTATCTTAATTAATCTATTTTTCAAACACTATTTGAATCGTGTGTTTGAGAATATAATATAGTTCGAGAGATATATGTTACAAATATAATCTAAATCGATATTATTGTAACGATACATTTTTGTGTTACATAACGGCCGATTACATGTATATAAAGTTATTAAACGATTCGGAACGATCTTTTCTCTATAATTAACGGATAACGAGATATATTCATCTTTATAGAGAATAAAGGATTAATTATATATATTTTGTAGGAGATTTCTTTTCTATTTAATTTCATTAGCGTTTCATTTCACTTTTTCCGTTCATTACTTGACTTACGTTAGAACCATATATTTACGGCATGTTTCAGAGCGCGAGTAAAGTCCGGCGTGAAAATCCTAGATGCTTCATCTAGCAGCCCGGACTGGATTGTCGTTAGTGATGTCAATGTGAAGAACACAGCCGCCACGTTCACAGCGCGACGTAAGGAGAACTCGTCGCGTGTATCGAGCACGTAAGTACATGAAGTACCCTTTTGGAATAGTTCTGTCGCGCAATCTGCCCTCATTAAACCGACATACGTCGGCAAGTTTAGAAAGACTCTTACTGGAATTAGTGAACATGAGGGCAGTTAATGTAATGAGCAATTTAAATCCCTCGCTTCCGTTCGTTAAACCGAGAATATGAACGAATTAGGTCTTGCTGCAAATCGAATAATACAAGAATTTTCGAGCGAACGAATGTTGAAAAGTTAAGACTTGTTAAATTGTGCTTTCAATACTGCATAAAATTTGGCTTTCTTATTTTTAAATTAACATCTTTTATCACAAAGCGTTATTTTAATAGAGATTAATATTTAACAATTGAATTTTTTTTTACATCAATTTATTTTTAATTATAAAATCTACATTTAATAATTATTATAATATTTATTATTTTTTCGAAAAGTCTTTAACGAGATTTAACATATTTAAGAATAGATTAAATAAATTTATTTATTTGAGTGCATGTAATATGATTTAAAGAGTTTAGCTAATCTCACACAAGTAACAATATTTATTCTAAATTACGTGATGCAATCTCTTTGTGTATTATTATATATTTTTAACGTTAAAGAAATATGGTACGAAAATTAATCCTATCAAACCGGAAGATGTTCCGATGGTAGCGTCGTTTGATCTAAGATATCTGCTTTCACAGTAGTCGCCTTAGGCGTGCAATGGCGCTTCGTCTTTGTATTCTTTGTACTCTTCTTTTTCTTCTTCTCCGTCTTCTCTTTCTTGTCATTCTTCGACCGAATCACTCGATTGTGCGGTATGTCGATTTGCTTTATGGTACGCTGCGGTTGACTGACATCTTCAACTTTGTAAGCGCGAATAAAGAAAGGGGCTTCGCCCGTTTTTTCAAACGACGATTCTCTCATCGACGAATCTTCGGTTGACCGAACAAGACGATTCTTCGGTTTATTCCTTTCCGCGGAGGACGATTTACTCTCTTTCGAAGTATCAACGAGCATTCTGACAAATCGATTCCTCAGTTTGTCCTTCTCTTCGGACGATGATTTACTCTTGTCCAAAGTATCTTCGACCATTCTGACAAATCGATTCTTCGGTTTGTTCTTCCCCTTGAACAAGTCGTTTCCGGAAGTATCCTCAGTCGTTCGGATAAATCGCAAGTTCTTCGGCTTGTCCTCTTCGGATGACGATCCACTTTCCGTGTTAACCTTGACCCCTCTGATAAGTCGACTTTTCGGATTGTTCTCTTCTTCAGACGAATTGCTGTTTGATGCATCCTGAATCGTTTGGATAAATTGATCTTTTTGTTTATTTTTCTTTTCTTCGGACGATGATATACTTTGCAAAGTATCCTCTTTAATATGCCTTTTTCCTCGTTTTCTCTCGTCCTCTTCTGAGGATGATGAAGAAGACGAAGATGAATCATCATCACCACCGTTGTCTTCATTGTCGTCATTGTCATCATCACAATTTTCATCGTCATTGTCATTATCCTTTTTTGATTTTCCGCGTTGTTTTTTATTCTTTTTATGATTATCATCATCATCATCATCATCATCATCATCATTATTGTCACAATCACACTTTTCGTCGTCATCATTTCTTTCATCGTTCTTCGATTTCACGAATCGTTTCTTACAACCATTATCATCGTCGTCACAATTTTCACCGTTATCTTTCTTTTTTGATTTTACACGGTATTTTTTGCTTTTTTTACAACAATTTTCATCGTCGTCATCGTTGTCGTCATCATCATCATGATCGTCATCGTCATCACTGGAAGAGCTACTGTTGTCATCGTCGTCATCTTTCTTCCGCTTGGTTGCACGTCTCACACGCTCAAATTCCTTCGTTTCTTCCAACTGCTCCTCGTTCTCGAGAGACATCCATTTACTGCTAAGGTACAAGTCTCTCCTTGTACGCTTATCAGCAACTTTCTCCTCGCTAGATGAACTCGAGCTGTCGGACTTTTTTTCATCTATAGTAGTGTCATTGACCGTGATCACTGTCGTCGTTGTCGTTATTAACGCATCATTCTGATTCTGCACATCTTGCGCCCAGACAACGTACGTAGCTGTAAATCCCACGAGAAAACTCGCGAAAAAAAATAGCGCACCACGACGCATAATCGATCGTGCAACTTAGAAGGGCGATTTGCACTCACGATGGCGGTCAGATGGTCGCCTTATATATACCGTGGTTGCGAAACGCTGATAAAGAAAGGAGTCATCGAGCGAAACACGCTATTGCTGACGTAGCGATGCGATGCGTGCTGAAATCGGTGGAGAAGCAGAGAGGACAGAGGGCGATAGGTGGGGAAATCCGAGCGAGCAAAGAGAGATTTTCGTTATCGCCGTTAACTCGTTGATGGTCTGCTTTGATTCCACTTCGATTCGCACTTGGAACTTTGGCTTGGAGCTTGGAGCTTGGAGCGTGCTTTCGCGAGATTGGCGATTTGCACCCGCTTCAGCCGCGAATCATCGATCGCGCGCGAACACCAGCGAACACCAGCGAACACGAGCGAAGGGTTAACGCCGCCCGGCACGCACGCAACGTGGATCAACGGCCACGATAAGGAGTAGGAGGAGGAGAAGAAGGCGGTGGGCGAGGGTTCTTAGCCGGAGGTTCCGCTTATCGAGATTCTACGCGGCGCGCGCTGGTAGCGAACGCGACGGCTCTCGCATCGAGATCAGACTCGATGCGTGTGATACCGGCTCCTCATAGCTAGGCAAGTGGCTCGAGGCTGCAGAATAATTACTTTGAAATAACGTCGCTGCCTTCATCTCGATAAGATAAGAATCTCGAGAAGACGTAATGAGCGACTGACGCTGCGAACGAGATGCTTACTAAGAGAGTGTTCGGCATAAAGAAGAAAAAACCCTACCGAGAATTATGGATAGCGTCGAGAGAGAAAATCCAACTCTCGTCGGATATTATTAACTCTTTACCGAACTCATCATCATTCTTTGATGGCAACTCGATAGCAATTTACACTTTTAAATTTGATGACTATTGTAATTTTATTCTGCTTATCACAGCATCCTTCGATAATGATTCAAAAGCACTATTACTTATATCATTATAGACTATAAATTACATATACTTTATTTCAAATTTATTGTTAACGATATATATTGTATAATGATTTCTTTCAAGTTAATTTTATCAAATTATTGAAGAAACAAAAACTATCTCTCAATTTGAACGAAAAAATAAAACTGAAATATATATTGTATAAATATTTTTCAGGAGCATTTTTAGTAAAAGAAGTATTATTTTTTATTTAATCTTTATATTTTTATTCGCTTGCACGGTTTATTACAAAGTAAAGGTATACTTCATATTTTTGTTTTTATTAACGTTATTGTAGTTTATTAAATATACTGCTAGATTTTTTATTATACCTAGTGATTTCCATTCCGTATATATAACTCGTATATAAAATTGAGATATTAAAAAAAAACTATTAATAACAGTTTCTGATTCAATTTGGAAATACAACCTCAGTTTACAACCTCAGTTTTTAGCGTATTAGCGATCTAATTTTGGAATAATTACATTTTTATTTTGAAAGGATATATTTTTTCGCAATTTAACATCGTAAAAATGGTTTGTTGGATGGAATTCGATAAATTTGTATATCTCTTAACGAATCTAATTATATGTATTTACATGTCTATGCATACTTAATTGTACTTTAATTCCTAATTCTCGTGAAAACTGCTCGTTTTACAGCAACTTTAATCCGACATCGCCCATTTCTCGTCGTAAAATATGAATGAGACAGGGGATCGCGTGTATAGCTGGAAACAGGAACAAGTAAAGACGTTTTGGAGAAACGCTTTTAAAGCGTATGTCGAGGAAAATACAAAGTCCCTCGCGCAAGAGAATCGTTAAATTCTTGTAATGACGTACAATTTTCTGTGTTTGCGATGTAACAGCCGACTAACAGGCGAGTTATCGTTCCTTTTAATTTCTGCACTCATTCTCGCGAATCCACTTGGAAGAGAATAACATTAATCATTGAAGGTGCAGTACTTACACGAGTGAATGAACGAACATTCGTTCGAATCTCCTTTATCAAATGTTGATAATGCACAATTTCCACAGAGTTATTCTCAACGCTTTTAAAGAATCATTTATAATCACGAATTTATGAATTCTTGTTGCATTATTATTCTAATGTAATTCTTACCTTATATCGTTTTACTTTTCGAAAAGTAATCTGCGTTCTTTAATTTTTTTTTTTTTTGCGAGAATCTCATGGACATTCCAAGATTATTGTTTCTTTCTTTTTATTTAGATCCGCAGAAGAAATAATGACGATGCTGTTGGAGGCTAGCGAGGAAGGCATAGGCGGAAGCTGGGACGGCGGTAGAATCGTATGGAGCGTGCGTTACGCGCTCGAAGGCGAAGAGGAGAACGGCTCGCAGTTGACGGGCGTCGATCAGCAGCAGCGAATGCAGCAACGCCAGCTGCAGCACCATCATCATCATCACACGATCGAGAGACGGAAACTGCAGGCACGGCTAGAGATACAGAAGGATGATATACAAGCGGTGCTTCCGATCTCTAAGGTAATACGCGATTCTTCTAGCAATTTTAATTCGAAATTTATGCATGTGAATTTGAAAAAAATTTATATATAACAATAGAATGCGTCAAAAGTTCAGAAGAAGTAGTCACAACCGTATCTGGAATATTATTATGTGGGCGTATATATAGATACATATGTGTCTATCTACAAGATATCTTACTTTTCACATATTATTTTTAACGGCAGATTCTTTGATCAGTTTTGAGACAGTTTTCTTTAGCGAAAATATTGAAACACGCCAATATTTTTCACGCGATTGAAAAGAAAGCCTTTTTACGAATTGAATTTCAGTGGTACAAAATTATATTTTTCTTACATAGATAAGTAGAATACTAATGTAAAGTTTAAGTTATAAAAATGTGTAATGCTGATAGACTACAAGAAAGTCTTTACGCTTATTACGTCATAATCTATAACTATATATAGTAGAAAATCAAGAATTTTGAGACATAGAGAAAAGTATTTGAAAGATTTTTGCGATTTCGGTTAGAGAGGATTTTGATGCTTTTCTCTCGTTTACGATTATTTTCATTGTGACATTCTTTGTCCTTCGTCTCCTGCACCTCGTGCTTCGTTCTTCGTCTGTGAAAATCCCTTGGAAAAGAGCTAACTCGAACGACGAGCACGATCAATACGGTCGCGTATATCGATCACCTCACCGCGCGAGAATCTGTTTCCACTCGGTCGGCCAATCTACGATCCTCGCGAGTACCGAGACAAGAGAGAAAAAGAAAGGAAAGGCGATGAGAAAAAGGAAAAGCTCTGTGAAAAGAGACAGACAGAGAGAGAGGGGGAGAGAGAGAGAGAGAGAGAGAGAGAGAGAAGATCGACAAAGGATAATGCTTTTCCCTCTTTGGCTCCCACGGCGAGCACTCTGATGCTTTTCTCTTCGGCTTTTCCGCGCCCGCGCCTTCATCATAACGGCGATATTTCCAGTCCGTGGCAAAATTCCATCGATACCGCAGAGCATCTGCTGTAACAACGGATCGTAATGAAATTTTTGATTGCCGCACGTTGAACGGCGTCGACGCATCTTTGCGTTCCTTTATAAAGTGAGATGTATGTAGAGTGAAACATTAATTTTCTTTATAGTTTGTAAGAAATGTGTAACATATGCAAAATAATAATGTGGTTCTGAATATATCTTAATAGTGATAATAATTCAATTGTAAAAAAATGATTAACCTATTTCGATTATTTTCATCAATGATATATTATGTAATATATAACAAATATTTTCGTAATAAGACCAATTTGTTTTCTAATCAAATTTTATCGAATTTCATTCGATAAAAGAAATTGAAATCGGTGATAGATGTGCTTATATTGATATATGACAATTAAATATGGTTTTCGTAATTATTTTCCATGCCACAACAAGTCCTCGCAATTAGAACACACGCCTGTTGGTATGTAAATTAGATCTGACGGTTCCACATTATCCATAACATGCTCACAATTTCCAGTAACACGATATAGCAGGTGCACAGTACGTAATTCTGTGTATGAAAGTCAACATGAAGATCGCGTAAATGATCAGACACATTCACCCAGAATAGAGTCTTATGCCCAATTTCTTCACCTCTAGATAACTTTATCCAAGAGATATCTCCCAGAATACAATGGAGATATCTCCTGGATAAGGTTATCCGCAATTTATCTGAAAGTGAAGAAATTGGGCATTAGACAATTAATTAACTGTAAGAAAGATATTTACGCGATTCATACAATAATTGGTGAAGAATAAAAATACCGTGTTAAACCGGTATTTTCAATGAAAAGTTCGTATAATATGGTTTTACAATAGCAGGATGTCTTGCAAAATCATACTTAATAGACATTTTGCAATTGTGAATTCTATTTTTACAAATAAAATTTTAATTTTTGAATGTTATTTTTAAAGACATAATGCTATGGAAAATTTACAAGTGTGTGATTTTTATCAATATTATTGCTAAAGACTTTAAATGAAAGATGATTAATGTTGGACAGTTTTTTTTTTGCGACATTTCATAGATAACGTCATTAGTTACTAATTTTGCAAATTCGTTATACATATCTATAAGTTAAGTCAAATTTGACAGTGCTATTATAATAAGGTCGATCTTAAAATCGAGAATCAGTATTGGCGGATGACGCAGGGTAAAGATCGAAAGCATCGAGAAAAGAGGTTGCACGAGGTCTCTTTTAATTAAAAACTTTACTCACACAGTCTCGCGCGTGGAAGGAGCTGCAATTAGAGTAAGGATAATCAACAAGCACGGACGAAGTCCCGACAACTTTACGCGAACGAGCGAGCGAGAGAACGAGCACGCGGCGCCTTCAAAAGGATATGTAAACGAATTAATTATCTCATTTATCAATTAGCGACCTCTGACACGCGCGCTTGTTTTCTCTGCTGAAATTTATCAAAGTAATAGCCCGTGTATTGTATACATATTTTATGCACAGCAATGTAAAATCCTTGCGTTTCTCTTATATCCATCAACCTCCTTCCATTCGCCGTCGATGAAACATCATTCTACGTTGAAAATGTTCTCCATGTTGTTTTAATAAACTCACAGAATAACCTCGTTGATCTCGGAAATATCTGGAAAATAACTGTGTGCTTCATTCGTGTATTAAAATATAAATTTATGATTCTGAAAGTTAAACTGCTAAATTCATGCGTCAAGTTTGTACTCATTATTGTATATATTACACTCTTCAAAATTGCAGCGGGTCAATCTTTTGAGCTATTAAAAGGAACAAAATACATTGCCGAAGATAAAAAGGACATGCACATTTTCCGCAGAGAGTAAATTAATTACATTGAAATGTACATATACAACACATATTAGAATCTACAAACATATATGTATAATAATATCAATTTTCTCTAGATACTTTGAATATGGTAAAAATTTATTATTACATAAAAAAATATAGTTCTAAATTGTCTCAATTCGATCTTAATTTGATAGCTCGCTCTCTCTCTCTCTCTCTCTCTCTCTCTCTCTCTCTCTATCAAAATTTTTTTTCTCTTTTATATTAAATCTTCTCATGAGAGATTTGCTTAAAGCTTACTCTAACAATCTTAAATTGAAGAATTTTACAATTTGGAGATTGACGTTTCTTGTGAAGTCAAGAAAGTAAACCAGAAATTTGTACAGTAAATAAAAAAGTTTTTAAGTTGATTTCTAAAACTCTTAATTAATTACACGCCATTAATCGCATCTCGGACCATTATTAGCCCGATATTGTTGCAAATGATTAATATAGAAAGTTAGGAAAGAAAGCGCTATTCAATTATAAATTTTCACATAAGAGTAAAACCGACTTTAATCCTTTGATGTTTCCAAATAAAAGTTTCAAAAATTCAAACAATAGAAAAATGACTTTAACAAATTTTTCTTAAATGTGCTCGCGAAGGATTAAAATATTTCCTTTTATGTAAAAAGGAATAACGTCACAAATATTAGAAATATTGGAAGAAGCAAATATTGCAAACAGTTTAAAAAATTTTTCTTATGCATTTTTTTTAAATTACAATAAAAACTGTCAAATAGTACGATATTGAACTCTTCATATATTTTATTAGCAATTTGTATAATACATTACGCAATAGAAACTGAATCAAAAAATCAGTAACAAGTGATTCCTCTCAGGGAATTTCTCGCGTTTCTTTCGTGAACAATGCATTCTGCACGGCGAGATACAAACTACACGGACGTGTAGTCTAGTCTCGTAAATATTTTCGTGAGTCTTGGTTCAGATGAGAAAATATTTGACGAAAGAAAGGGAAGGAGCCGCGGTTCGCGTTCGAATGTAAACTACACTCGCTGCTTTTATCATTGCAAGAGAGCACGCTCGTCCACGCGAGAGATATAGTATATGTATATAGTGTATAGTTGGCTGGCGCATACACCCCAACGTGGCGTCAGGGATTTAAATTCCCTCGCTGCAATATCCGAGCCGTTTGATGTTCCTTCCAAAGGCTGCCGGTCTGTATGGACGGAAGCGAACTTGGAAATGGCTTACTAGTCTGGCCGACCGACCCTACCCAACCAACCCCTTTGCGGAACTCCCCCGTTGACGAACTAGTGTAAAGTACACGGACGACGCGTACACGTAAAACGTGTAAACGTGGCAAGTAATCTTCCACGTGTACGAGCAACATCGCGGCAAGCAGCAAGAACAAGTCTTCAACAGTTGTAAAATAACTGCACGAGTTCACGGAAATCCATTGGTTCTCATTTTTGAACTCGTTTAAACTTTTCATGATGTTAAATCGTTAGATTATATATTAATGGCTTATTTCGGAAATGTGCGGATCAACTTCTTTACGGTAACAACTTTTTTCTTATTTGAGAAAATATGTACCATTAGAGAAGATCGATAGTTTTATCGGTTTATATATAGTGAGATGATTTTACTTATAACTGAGACAAGCTTTTTGTACTGCTTTGAAGTTCTGCTTTTCATGAAAGATCAAGAACTCGTGCTTTTCCCGCAAGTGTTCTTTTCAAAAGTGGAATCAAACGAAATAATTAAAACGAGAGATAATATTGTTTCATTTCTTTTTAGTTTTATAGAATAACTGAAAAATTTTAAATCACATATTAAATTTATTTAAAAAGTTTAGTTCTTTCTTATTGTTAGAGTTTATATTTTTGTAATGTGCAGTTATTCATTTTAAAATATTATGTATATATGTATGTACGTACATATATGTACATACATTATTACAAAAATAGAAAAATTATAAACTATTATATATTTTTAGGGAAGATAAATTTAACATTTTTCTACGTATGTATTCTGCGTAGTTTTGTTTAATTTATGTTTTTCGAATTTTATGTTTTCGGTAGTTCACATACATATTTTTTAATATCGCTTACCGCGCCTTTTGTCTTGTCACGACGATAACGGAATAAAGTTCGAGGCAAAATAGATAACAGTTATGAATAATGGATAATGGCTGCTCTATCAATGAAGGTTACAGAGAAATGCATATATATTAAAATATATGCATACTTTCATCTCAAACTATTAAAAATAGGAATAGGACTTTGCCACTTCAGATATGAGAAAAATTGGAGTGTAGCTTAAGCTATGAGTTTCTCTTCGACAAGCGAGAGGGAATGTTTTATATTTTGCTTCAGAACTGGGAGGTGATGAATACAGCTGTGTTGACGGGACGTCAGGTGTCGCAGGGGATGAAGGTTTTCATTGTGAGCCAAGCCGGCACGGTCGCCGATGTTACGCTGCAGTCGTCCTGTCATTCCGAGGACGAGAGTGTCCTCAAGGTAATTGCTTTTTAATTTATCTTCAGCGCTCACTTAGATTCTTAGGAATTTAATTGAAGAAATCTTGGTATTATATACCTTCAGTAGAATTCGCTGCTTTCTCATTTTTATCGTTGTCATTCGTGTTTAATAACTTTTAGAACTTTATATTATATATATTATATATATGTATATATTTTTTTTTGTTTTCATTTCTACATATTCAATAAAGGAATATGGCAATATACGATTATTTTACATGTCCGAATTTGGAAATTTAATTGTATGGATTTATTTTTTAAAAATATATTGAGTCTACTCTTCAAATTTTAAATAGAAATTAGTTTTACATAATATACATTATTCTATATAACGGTATCTACACATTTATAACGATATCATTTTTTTAAATCCTAAAAGTATAGAAACGATAATGTCCACGAGTTTCAAACTCCTAATACCCCGTATAATCGATGGATGAAGTGATACTTTCAATATCCTGGTATTTTACACTCAAACCGTGCATTACGAACTATCGTGGTGTAGGGGATCAAACTATATTTAATACCTGATCGTTGTTACGAATACCTATAAATTCGCAGGTATCATCCTCGTGCAGTAGCGTGTACGTGGATGGTTCGGAGATCCGGGGTTCTAGTAACGCATCGGTCCTCGTCAAATACGGCACGTATACTGGTCTAGCAAGATTCACCGTGTGGATGCCTGAATTTCCATTGGAAGTAAGCGTCGCTGACACACGGTTGAATCAAATAAAGGGTTGGAAGGTGCCGGAGGAGCATGTAGCAAGTGCGAAGAGCAAACGGAGTTTGCTGAATGCGACGCGGATCGAACAGAAGACGGAAGTTGTTTCGACGTCGATAATGCCATTAGAAACACCACCGGTAACCGCACGAGCGAAGAAGAGAAGCGCCGTTGATCTGGAAGAGTCGATAGAGGACACGTCTATGGACGTGGACGATCCGGACGAACTGCTCGAGGAGGATGAGCACGAGGAACGATTTCGATCTAATGGAAATGATCACGGATGGGATACAATCAACTCTATCGATCGGAATCTATCTCCGGCTAATTGCAGATTGCGTTTCCAGCAAAGTCCGGTTGAGGTTCACGCCCGATTCTTAGCAACTGATCACGATTCGGGTAGAGTCTCGTACTTTGTCAATCGGCGCACCTGGTTGCGCGTCACTGACCTCGTAGCCGGCATGCTGCGTGTCTCCGATCCTAGAATAGCGACGCTTCTTCAAGGTAGATTGGTTCAGGGACGCGGAGTGGGTCGCACGGAGGTGCAGGTACTGTCACCGATCACTGGTAGAGTCATCGGCGCGAAGGAAATCAGAGTCGGCAACGATCGCGTGTCTGTGACACGTCTGTCTGTCCGAGTGGTATCCGGACTTCAACTCGCTATCAACCCAGATACTGCGATCGAGAACGGATACGTTGCCGAAACCTCGGTTACGAGAAAACTTACCGCCCAATATCAGGTAAATTATTATTATTATTATAAGTACAATATTATTATTTGTATCCAAGTTTCAAATATGTCTTGAGAAAAATAGTAATTTTGCTAAAATTTACAATTTAGAAAAGTCAATTAAAAAGTAGTTGTTGAGTTTAATAACTTAATGCTTAAATGTTTTTAAGAAATTTAAATTTAGAACTGTGAAGTGAAATAATAAATTAATTGCTGAAAAAATTATGTTTTATCTTTTTTTTTTATATGATATTAATACCGATTTTTTTAAAGAACTTTAAAGAGTTAAAAAATGTTATTAAATTGAGTTAATCCATTCAATTTTTACTCTGGATATATCGACTTTACATTTTTCTCGATGAGATGAATGTGTGTGTGTGTATGTATATATATATATATATACATATATATACACACACATTATGTGCCATAGAGCGTGTGTAAATAGAGCAGACTAAACTGAGTCGAAAAGTCCTCTACCATTTTACAATTTTCGCAATAGGTAACAAGATATTAATTACTAAAAATTGTCGAAAATTGGTCTTTAATAATTTTTTACTCAAATACTATCAACTTTACAGAAAAACTGCAAGAGACAAAAATTGTTTCTTTTCTTCTCATAGAGCGTTAAGGATTTTTTCAAAATTTTTAATTAATTTTTTAATATTGCATTTTCTTATTTTTACCACCATTATATTATGAGAAAATACGTTATTAAAAAATTTTGAAAAAATTCTCAAAACTTTATGAAAAGAAAATAAACAATTTTTATCTCTTTTAGTTCTTGCATAAAGTTGATAGTATTTGAGTAAAAAATTATTGAATACCAATTTTCAGCAATTTTTAGTAATTAATCTCTTGTTAAGCATTTTGCAATTTTCGCAATTTACTATTGTGAAGATTGTAAAATGGTAGAGGATTTAGTTTAGTCCGCTCTATGGCAGAAATCTCGCCGAACACCATGTATGTGTGTGTGCGTGTGCGTGTGCATGTATATATGATCAAAACAAAACTGTTACACGGCAAGCAAATTTGTTATTGTATATCAACAGGAAGGATTGCTGGACATTGACGTGGAGTTCTCGGACAGTACCCGTACACCCCTCAGGGAAATCGCTGTGAGCGATTACCATTTACTGGTGGAGAGTCTGGATCCGGAAGTTGTGGCGTTTGCACCAATGGTCGCTTCCCATCATCCACGTGTAATCGCGGTCGGTGAAGGCCGCGGTGACTTGCTGCGTGTCAGTTTACAGCTGGCCGATTCCTGCCGATTATCCGGTAGACGTTCAAGCAAGGGTTCTCAGAGGACGACGGCCGCTGCATTGGCAAGCGCGTCGGCTAACGTCGAGGTGGATTTCGCTTCGAGCGAGGTACCCAATCGGCCGGAATTCGTGCAGAACGACGGCGGTGGCACTGTCGGTTCTCACCATCATAGAGAACGTAAAACTGGCCGGGGCGAAATAGCTTCCGATCTACACGACATCCTTATCGGTAAATAGATCATGTTCCTCTTTGCTGCTTTCTATCTTTCTGTCTCGCTTTTTTGGCATTCTCTTCACTTTTTCTGTTCTTTTCTACGCTTTATAACTGCCACATAACGCGCATGGTATGCACTTTGTTCTGCATTTCTTAGCGGAAACTTTCTTCGCGAGACTAAGTATTTGGCTTGTAAAAAGTTCTCTGCCTATTTATGCGTGATCTCTCTTCACGGTTTCCGTCCAGTCCTTCGTAACTGATAGTCTTCCTCCTTTCGCTGAATGTCAAATGCGTCTAGTTCTTAGAATAAATTGTGACGCAACACATTACAAATCATTGAAGTATAATATCATTGAATCATTCAACATGAAATATCTATTATATCCGAATATTCTTATACGATTTATACGAACAATGGAAAATTTGACCAAAGAAAAGTTGGATGCAAATTTCGTAATCCTGACAATATAAAGACGATTATGAATCTAAATGAGAACCAAAGGAGATTAGAAAATGAAACCCTTGGGACACCTTTTAAATATATGATTCTTTTTCTTCCTCATATCTCCAAGTAGTTCGAAAAGTTGAAATTACTTATATATTGTGCATAGATGTAATATCAAGTCGCTACATATCAGAATTCAATTATAACGCCAAAAGTATAGACGCACATTCAGTATCCTCACGAACTTTGCATATCCGACATAGCATGTCTAGCCGCTGTCTAGCTGGAAGCATCAAGGGAGAAAGATTTTCAGCGGCTCTCTAACTCAGCACAAGTATCCCGTCTCACTCTGTCCTCTCTCTCTCTTTCTCTCTCTTTGTTTTTCTGTGCAAAGGGTTACCGCTGAAAGACGAGAAAGACAGGCACGAGCACGAGCCTTTGGTGCAGGCACGGCAGCATCGCACGGCTATAGCTAATGGCATGTCTTCAGGGGGTATGGGCGGCGTCGGCGTGCGTCACCACGGCGTCGGAGCGCGGATGAGCCCGCTCGAGATCGGGATGTACGTGCTGCTCGCGGCGTTCTGCTTCGCGATCGTTGTCTTTGTCGTCTCCTGCGTGGTGTACGCCAGCAAGTTCAAGCCCCAGCCACCGGACTCCCCGTTGACCGGCGCGGCCGTCCCGGTGCTTTCTGGCGCGGGTGCAAGGGCTCGCGCTGCCGCAAACCAGCTGGCATCTGGCAGACGACCGCCACGCGAATCGACCACCAACGCACACGATTGGGTATGGCTAGGTAGAGCGACTCTCGAACGAGCTGCCTGCGGTCCGCAACAGGTACGCATATCGGTGTGAATTTAATGATTTGTGAGTGAAACCGTTAATGAAGCCATCGATAATCATTACCTATTAAAACTAATTTCGAAACTCTCAAATGGCCTGATAGTTAATTGCACCGTTAGATGTAATAATGTTAGTCTATTATTTAAAATTTAAATCAATGAGACCAGGAAATCACACTTATCAGGTTTATTCGGAGGAAAAAAATGTTTTCTAATTGCAAGATTGTTTGATTGTATAGACGATTTTAATAAGATATATACATTATTTTGTAAATAAATATATAGAATGACATTTCTTCTAATAGTAGTTAAGTTTTGAAATATATTAATTCATGTTGTTGATCTTATTTTATTTATGTCACGATTCCATTTACTATCTATTTCTCAACAAATAACTGTAATAATATTTTTCACATTAATCTCTTGACTCACTTCTTTACTTCTTTCAACATAAGTATTAAATATTTATAAATCAATAAGAATGGTACTTTAGACCGTACATGTGAGAACACAATCAATACTAGAAGTTAATTTACAATAAATTTATTTACAGTTTTTCAGCACATTAACACCTTTCTAATGTGGCCTGATTAAGCATCGAATTATTAAAAAATTGCTTGTCAATTTAATTTAATTTGTGGTATCATTACAGTAGTTTAATTGCGTTTAAAAGTCCGGAAAACCAATTCGGCGCGCAGTTCGAATGACTACAAATATGGTATATACGCATGTATATATATATATATATATATATATATTATATATGTACATATATATATAATTTACATTGCATTATTTGAGCATTAAAGATTCAGCTTCGAGCGTTATAGGCATTTAATTTCTAGTATTGATTAAATATTTAATGCCATAAAATTATTAAAGATTACTAACAACTTGAAGAATAACAAATAAAATTTCATAACATCGATAGCGATAACGGTCCAACGAGTACATCTAGGATTAATTCGGTAATTGAAATCAATTCGAATTTTCGACGAGATTTGATGCTGTAAATATCTTTGCGCATTTCAATAACCCAGTGGTAAATTGTTTTAAAAACAACGGGATTTGTTGAAACAATTTGATTGAAAAAACTCGGTTTATGTTGCAGGTACGAGTAACGAGTAATCCGCTGGCAGGCGAAGGGGAACCCGAGGCTGAATTGGGTACATGCTTCGACAATCCGAACCACATCGAGCTACCATCTGCCAATCAACGGCCTAGCGGGGG